TGTCTGATATGCTTTACAAGGCTTTTCAACAGAATTTTCTTTTCATACACAATAGGTCACCAGGTCTTTCTTTAACCCTCCCATTTGCACAAGTTTTGGAGTGGCGTGCAGCCTTTTTGCACACACATATTAGGGCAAACCTAGGCATTTTCTGCTAAAGCACTCTGATTGGGTGAGGTGGAAATCATGATTTCACTGTCCAGCATCTCAACTTCATCCAATCAGAGAACACTTTGCATCTATTGAGAACATACCGAGTGATCTCTGAATGGTGCTGATTGAGGGATTTCCTGCATTCAATAAGCAGCGCAGCGTACAGTGATTTCCAGCTTCCACAGGCATCAGCCAGGTATGGCATATACATACTTACCTTGGTCCATAGCTGAACTTCAGCTTCAACGCTTAACTCCAGGTTTTGTGTTACTTTGAATAGTTCATTTGGGCCAAGCTGGTCCAAACAGACCTCTTTCATTTACAATTTGCTGTGGTCACTTTTAGTATTGCTTAAACTATATATAGCATCCGGTACATACAGTATGAAATGCTGTATAGTTGCAGCCATTTGGAGACTTTCCTTCCTGTTGCCAGAACTAAATCAACTCGCCGGAAGCCTTGTAGTTTTTTTGTGAATGAATACAAGGCTTCCTGTGACTGGCTGAGGTAGAAATCATGATGACATCTACCTGCCTCTCCACCTCAGCCTACCGGAGGAAATCTTGTACTGATTCATAAAAATACCAAACCTCCTGTGGATGGCTGAGTAGTGCATAGCTTGACTTAATTTTGTTCCGGCAGCAGACATTAAGTCCCTTTTTTAAATGGCTAGAATAAATTATTATTCTGGCTATCAAAATAAGCACCCAAGTGCTTGACACACCTAAACGTGTTACACACATTTACAAGAATCAAACGTTTTTCTGCAAAAACGCCACTGCCAGGAGGAAAGGCAACTAGGAGAGATTGCGAAAACATCCAGTCTTCATGAGACCTAATAAAAACATTTTTGTTTTGGGGTTTAACACCCCAGTGACCCCAGTCTGACTTTGAAATCGTGTGACTTCCAGTGAAGATATTCCGACTTGAGGGGCGACTTGCAAAACATCTATGGCTCGCACCTGAAGTAGTGCATGTTCCGACCAAGTCGGAATTGCACCGATATGACCGCTTTTATGTGCAGACAATAGGGTGCGACTTGCCATGCGATTTACAACTCTCGCATGAAAAGTCGCACCTGGTGTGACCAGAGTGTAATACTGCTTTAAAACTAAAGATCTGAAACCTTTCTTCTTGGCGTGTTGGCTTCCTAATATACTTGTGTACTAATTTGGAGGCTCTTCTTGAGGAATTCTCTTTAGTTACAGCATGCACTTACCAGTGCTACCTTGTTTAACATTTGCGATACACAACTGTGCATTATCCACTGTTGCGATACACGACTGTGCATTATCCACTGTTGCGATACACGACTGTGCATTATCCACTGTTGCGATACACGGCTGTGCATTATCCACTGTTGCGATACACGACTGTGCATTATCCACTGTTGCGATACACGGCTGTGCATTATCCACTGTTGCGATACACGGCTGTGCATTATCCACTGTTGCGATACACGGCTGTGCATTGTCCACTGTTGCGATACACGGCTGTGCATTGTCCACTGTTGCGATACACGGCTGTGCATTATCCACTGTTGCGATACACGGCTGTGCATTATCCACTGTTGCGATACACGACTGTGCATTATCCACTGTTGCGATACACGGCTGTGCATTATCCACTGTTGCGATACACGGCTGTGCATTGTCCACTGTTGCGATACACGGCTGTGCATTGTCCACTGTTGCGATACACGGCTGTGCATTGTCCACTGTTGCGATACACGACTGTGCATTGTCCACTGTTGCGATACACGGCTGTGCATTGTCCACTGTTGCGATACACGACTGTGCATTGTCCACTGTTGCGATACACGGCTGTGCATTAGCCACTATTATTTACTAAACGACCTTACTCTAGATCACCCCCTTTTAGGAATAAATGAGCAGTGTACACTTTTGATACCCTTCTTTCCTTTTTTTTTTTTTCTCTTCTCTTGTTCCCTTTCCTTCTTTATTATTTGTTTTTTTTTTTTTCTTGCCACTTCTGCTGCCTGTGTTGTACTAACTACACCTTTACACCCTTTTCTCTTGCATCCCTCTTCAATACCTATTAAAACAGGTGGTGGAAGAGATGACTTGATGCTTTGCCTTTACCTCCTGCAGACGTACAACACTGAGATACACGTTGGACATCTAATGTCTTGTAAGGTCTAATGATGACGTCTTGCTGTGTCAGTAATCCATTATTCATCTTGCTTGTCATATTTGTATCATGCTTGCTACTTACTGTACCTCTCTGTCCAACTTCAGTTTAGTTGTCTGTGTTTTTCTCTCCTGAGCATCTTTGTGATACGTTTGCTAGACTTTTTCTTTGTTTTATTTTAGAGATTAAGGCATTGTACTTGGTTGTATTTTAGTAAAAATACAATTCCTAGACATGTAAGCTATCCATGCATTATATTTGAAGATCTAATCCTTGTTTTATGCTTTTCTTTATAGTCATGGTATAAACTATAGATAACCATTAGTAGTTTAAAGAGTGAGACATGTGAATGGAAGTTGTGAAACATGTGATTCATATCCTACGAACTGTCAGCTTTAAGATCTGTTCTTACCAAAGACATCTGAGTTGTAATTACAGTTCTGTGTGCTACTGAGCTTTGCCAAGACTTGTAATATGAGGCATGTGTGTTTAGCACAGCAGAGGAAAGGCAGATAAGTGCTGGAACAGTATACATATCAATGCAGCTTTTACTAGACAATGTAAATGGTCGCACGTCGATGTTTTGCATTTTTAAGAAGTATTATGGACAGGCAGTAAGCTTTCCTTGGATCATTAGACTGCATTGGAACACATGAAATTATGCTAAGCTGCATGTTATTGATATTTTTTATTTTCTTTCCCGTTTTTGTTTTTTAATTATTGCCTTGTAATAATAATTTTTGCCTGACTAGATGCTACAAACCAGGCTGTATATTGATCTCTGCTTCTATGTGTGCCGATTTAATGAAGACAATACAAAGTACAGTCCTGCTGACCTAGTTATCTGCCAGGTTCAGGCTTTGGGCTTGCTATGTACACCCAAAAAAAGTCACTGAAGTTCACAGGGTGCACATGGCACACCTTGCTTGTGCTCTGCCTGCTGCTTTTACTGACCATTCTCGACTGTCAGACTTCTTGAATTTGCTGAATAAATACAATCGTCAGTCGTAGCTGCTGCTGTGCCAACCAGAGCTTTTCAAAAGTGTTTGTAAACTCTTGGATGCTCCATGAATAGTTGCACAGGCTGCAATTGTGACAGCAGGACCTCTGTCCAAAAGGTAGTGGGATACAGGGCGTGCCCCCTTTTTCCAACAAAATCCAGTACTATGAGTAGCACACCCTTGGTGGGCACAAGTGGGGCTTGAACCTGGGAGGACTTGACCCTCATATCAGTTTTGGAGAACAGTCTTCCTTCCACTAACTCAACAGACCTGCCCTGGGTCTGACTGTGACCCTACTGAAGCATCCAGTTTCTCACTCGCTCCTTCCTCAAGGAACATTGTAGAAAAGTAACATTTTTTTGCTGCCCTGACCATGGTTCTGGAACAATTGGCAGACATCCACATGGATTTGCAGCAGAGCGCCTGTAAATGATCTAGGTCTCTGTTGCCACAGGAGCTACGTTTTTTGAGTTTCCCCTGCCAGCCCTTCCAGGGTTACAAGGTGGAGAAGGAGGAGGAAGAGTCAGAAGATATGGATCATTAATCTGGGTAGGACATTTTGTCCTCCATTTCCCAATTGCAAAAGTCTGTGTCAGTACTGGAATCTTCAGGTTCAGAAAGTGACAGGGTTAGGATCGTGTAAAGTGCCCAAACTGCCCAGATCTTTTCCAATGCATCCCCACACTAAGGGAGGATCTGTACAAGGATTGGACTCATCCAGATAATGTGGTTTGCTAAACAATATCCAGTGGAGTACAGCTTCCATAAAAAGTGGACGGTATCTGCGATGGACTCCACTATGCCTTGTTTGATTAATACTCTAATGCAGGCCATAGACGGGTCGTTTATCGATATTCATGCCTCTAGTGGGGCCCGCCTGTTGGCCATTTTTCGTGGATCTTCTCGTTTACTTTTATCGGTCATGCTGGAAAATCCACGAAAAACGGCCGTTTTTCGTGGGACGATGGTGGCAGCATCGGCAACGGCGCCGACTGATTTTTCGTTTATCGGGCAATAAATGACCCGTCTATGGCCTGCCTTACAGTCCTGGTGGGCAAGGACCCTGCCGACAAAATGAGTCCTTCATGGCTTCCTCTCCTTTGGTAAGTGCAGTAATTGTTTCCATGTGGGCTAGACAAACCTTACTGCTCTAACCAAAAAGAAGTTACTTGGAGTTGTGAAAATATCTTACAAAATTTTACAGGATTTCACCCCAAAGCCTGAAGCCATAGTTAAAGCTTAAGTGCATTAAAACCACAATAAATGGCACCAAGGATTTACTGATAGCTGTGTGTTTTTTTGTGTTTTTTTTGTTTTTGTTTTTTTTTCTTTTCCTTTTGGGATAACCTTTTTACATGAATAAATAAAAGCTGATCATTGTAAGCACCCATGTCAGTGGCAAATGTTTTGTTTCATCCCTGTAACTGCTATATCTGTAAGAGAGCGTGTTCTTTTTTTAAAACAGTCTTAATGGCTAGATCACAAAGTGAATAACAGCCTAAAAAAGAAAACAAATGCAGCCACCGCATCTTAAGAATTGGTAAGCTGCAATAAATTTGTTTGTTTTTGAGGTCAATACCACTTGAATTTACATTAGAGGGTTCTATGTTTTCTCTGTGTAATACTAAATGTTTTTTGGATCGTCTAACTTGTTTTCCTATACTTGAAGACTTAGATTGTGCTTGCATTTTACAGGGTCACTGATTGAGCAATTGACTACAGAGAAGTATGAGTGTATGGTATGCTGTGAAATAATACGAGTTATGGCTCCAGTCTGGAGCTGTCAGAGCTGCTACCATGTGTTTCACCTGAACTGCATTAAAAAATGGGCCAGATCTCCTGCATCACAAGCTGAAGGTCAGTATTGAGTTTTTATGATTGGCATATAGCACTTATCCCAGTCCTCATTTCCTATAATCATCTTGTTGGGTTTATGATTGAACCTTTTTTTTTTTTTTTTGTATTTTTTCTGGCATGCTTTTTGCAATATTCAGTAGCCAGATAGCACCAATATTTGTTTCTAACTGCAGTGGGGTTAAGATATAAAAAAATGTTAGTCACCATTTCCAGAATGGCGCATTAGAAGGAATTTGCACAAAGGTTAAAAATTTTTGTTTTTTTTTGTGGACTACTTAAAAGGGTATTACTTCCTTTTTTTTTTTTTTTTTTTTTTTTTTTTTTTTTTTTGCTTTATTATCTAGTTAGCAAATGTTTAGGTTAAATATTTTTTCTTAAGTATTGGTTCATAATAATTCTGTCAGACAACAAGTAGCATGAATCTGTTCAAGTTATTTCCCAAGTCAGTGATTTGTTTCAAAATATTTGGAAACTTAAAGATCCATCGTTGACCTCCTGAAAATTCTAGTTGCCTGGCACATATGCTCCCACACTAACTTTTTTCTCTGATTTGCTTGATATGCATGATTTGTGCCAGTTTAGTGGCTCAAAGTATTGGTTAAAACTCTTTTTTTTCGTTAGTGGCTGAGAGTATTGAAGCGAGAGGGTCAACGTGACAGCCAAGTCACTACTATGTGTAGAATGAGAATTCAGCAATTGCAGTTTCTGCTTCCCTTGGTAAAAGTACCCTTTTAAACCACTCCCTGGCTGCCTACTGCAGATATACTGTAGCAGAGCGATTTCACCTTCCCTCATTAACCCCCCCCCCCCCCGCACTAGATCACGTATATGTTCACGATCTAGCTCTTCTGGGTAGGAGGGTGCGCATGTGCGCTGCCCCGGCTGTGCTGTCATTTGCTACAGCACATGGCAATCAGTGGGTCTAAGCCAACTATTTATGGTTGGAACTCATTGATCGGCTCAGCAAAGCAAGGAGTAAAAACCAGCACATTGCTTAGTAAAACAGTACACCCAGTAAACCAGGGGTTGACAAATTTAGAAGGCAGTGGTGTTTTTTTTTTTTTTGTTTTTTTTGTTTTTTGTTTTTTTCTTGTGTAGTGTGGGGTTGGGTTGCCAGGGCAAGTCATTTGCTCCTCGTAACCCCCACTCCCTCAACCCCCGCTCTTCAAAAATTCCCTCCAAATTACTGACCTCAATCCCACCATTACTCTCCTGAGCTTTCCCCATTACCGTCTAGAGCCCCTCCCCCCTCTCTTCCAACACACCTATGCCTTCAATACCCCCATCTAGCACATCTATACCTCCAATTCCTCCCCCCATTCAAGAACACTTATGTTGTTCTTGGGTACCAGCATCCTTGCAGCACCTGAGCCCCTCCAATACCTTCTTGGTGTCGCGGGAAGGCCCCTATGTCCAGTGCATGGCGGGTATGTTCTCTCCCACCCTCACCTCTCTTCCTCTCCACACATCCAAAGAGAAGCACTGCGAGAAGATTACCTCAATACCGCTCCCTCCTCTCTCTCCTCTCCGTTCTCCTAGAGTGGCACAGTCTCTCCTCTTCTGCCTTACTAATATATATATATATATATATATATATATATATATATATATATATATATATATATATATATATCATACACAGTTGTGTTCAAAATAATAGCAGTCAGACATCACTAACCGGATCAATCACTGTTTTTGGTAGAAATGATATTTCTACATGGCAAATAATTTACTAGCAGGTGTAGTAGAGTAATAGAAATCCAACAGACCCAACAGTCATGACATGCATGCTGCTGATTCTGTGTAATTGAATCACTCATTGAAAGGGGCATGTTTAAAATAATAGCAGTGTGGAGTTCTATTAGTGAGGTTATTCATTCTTTGAAAAACAGGTGGCAATTATTGCCCTTATTTAAGGAAGGAAGGCAGCAAATGTTGTACATGCTGGTTACTGTGCATTTCTCTCTGAAATTCTGAGGAAAATGGGTCGTTCCATACATTGTTCAGAAGAACAGCGTACCTTGAATAAAAAGTTGATTGGAGAGGGGAAAACCTATAAAGAAGTGCAGAAAATGATAGGCTGCTCAGCTAAAATGATCGCAAATGCTTTAAAATGGCAACCAAAACCTGAAAGACGTGGAAGAAAGTGAAAAACTACCATTCGAATGGATAGAAGAATAGCCAAAATGGCGCGGACTCAGCCAACAATCAGCTCCAGGAAGATGAAAGAAGGTGTGACGTTCCCTGTGAGTACTGTTACAATTAGAAGACGCCTATGTGAAGCCAAGCTATCTGCAAGAAGTCCCCGCAAAGTCCCACTGTTGGAATAAAGACATGTGCTGAAGAGGTTACAATTTGCCAAAGAGCACATTGACTGGACTAAAGAAAATGGCGCAACATTTTGTGGACTGATGAAAGTAAGATTGTTCTTTTTGGGTCTAGTGGCCGGAGACAGTTTGTCAGACGACCCCCAAACACTGAATTCAAGCCACAGTCACTGTGAAGACAGTGAAGCATGGTGGTGCAAGCATCATGATATGGGAATGTTTCTCATACTACGGTGTTGGGCCTATTTATCACATACCAGGGATCATGGATCAGTATTGAATACATCCGAATACTTGAAGAGGTCATGCTGCCTTATGCTGAAGAGGAAATACCCTTGAAATGGGTGTTCCAACAAGACAACGACCCCAAACACACCAGTAAACGTGCAAAATCTTGGTTCCAGACCAACAAGATTGACGTTATGGAGTGGCCAGCCCAATCCCGGATCTTAATCCAATAGAAAACTTGTGGGGTGACATCAAAAATGCCGTTTCTGAGGCAAAACCAAGAAATAGAGAAGAACTGTGGAATGTAATCCAATCATCCTGGGCTGGAATACCTGTTCACAGGGCCAGAAGTTGGTTGACTCCATGCAACACAGATGTACAGCAGTTCTCAGAAACAGTGCTTATACAACTAAATTTCATTAAGTGATTCAAAGGAAAGCAAAATCTTCAAACATTTTTCAGTTTTATATAGTGAATGTTTGAGTTTGTAAAGAATACAAACACTGCTATTATTTTGAACAGTCTAAGATTCACTTTTCTTCAATTTTTTTAGAGGAACAACACAAATTTGATATATTTTTCTTCATGTTTTGATTTGGAATAGAATGTGTCGTGTTCCCAATGCATTTGTGTGTATGGAAATAAAAGCTATTAGAAGGATTTTGAGCTTTATTCACTTTTTTCAACACACTGCTATTATTTTGAACACAACTGTATATAAAAAGAAAAGTTCCAGTGTATATATACCATAGTTTGTAGATGCAATAACTTTCACGCAAACCAATGAATATACAACACATTGATTGGGATTTTTTTTTTTTTTTGCCAAACACGTAGCAGAATACATTTTGGCCTATAATTTATGAAGAAATTAGAATTTTTAAAAGTTTATTAGAAATATTCTATAGCAGAAAGTATAAAATTGTTTGGTTTTTTTAAATGTCTGTCTTTTTTTGGTTTGTATAATAAAAAACCGAGTGGTGATCAATACAACCAAAATAGAGCTCTATTTGTGTGTAAAACAAAATGATATAAATGTAATTTACCAGACCCTTACCATGTAGGCAGTCAGGTGATCCTGCACTGCTCAAAAAAAATTAAGGGAACACTTTGAAAACACATCAGATCTCAATGGGGAAAAAATGTCATGCTGGATATCTATACTGATATGGACTGGGTAATGTGTTGGGAACATAAGGATGCCCAATCATTTGATAGAAATGAAAATTATCAACCTACAGAGGACTGAATTCAAAGACACCCCAAAAATCAAAGTGAAAAAAATGATGGAGCAAACTCATCCATTTTGCTGAAATTTCATTGCAGCAACTCCGTAGTTTTGTATGGCCCCCACGTGCTTGTATGCTTGCCTGACGACAGCGTCGGGGCATGCTCCTAATGTCTCATGTTTCAATTCATCAGACACCGGCAGGTTGCACCTCAGACTGTCCAGGAGCCCAGTGATGCCCTGGTCCAGATCTGGGAGGAAATACCCCAGGACACCTTCCATCGTCTCGATGGATGGTGTCCTGGGGTATTTCCTCCCAGATCTGGACCAGGGCATCACTGGGCTCCTGGACAGTCTGAGGTGCAACCTGCCGGTGTCTGATGGATTGAAACATGATATCCCAAAGTGTTCTACTGGATTTAGGTCAGGCGAGCATGGGGGCCATTCAGTGGTATCAATTCCTTCATCCTCCCAGGGAACTGCCTGATTACTCTCGCCATATAAGGCTGGGCATTTTTGTGCACCAGGAGGAACCCAGGACCCACTGCACCAGCGTACGATCTGACAATGGGTCCAAGGATTTCATCCCGATACCTAATGGCAGTCAGGGTGCCAATGTCTAGCCTGTAGAGGTATGTGCGTCCCTCCATAGATATGCCTCCCCAGACCATCGCTGACCCACCACCAAAACAGTCCTGCTGAACGATGTTACAGACAGCATAATGTACTCCATGGCTTCCTTTCACATCTGTCACATGTGGTCAGCGTGAACCTGCTCGTTGCCATTAACTCGACTCGCCGTGTTGGGAGGGGAAAAAAAAGGCTGGCTATGACCCTAAGAACACCACCCCTACAGGCAAGCACGGAGGTGGAAACATTATGCTTTGGGGCTTTTTCTCTGCTAAAGGTACAGGCCAACTTTGCTGCATTGAGGGGCCAATGGACGGGGCCATGTATTTTTAAATCTTGGATGAGAACCTTCTCCCCTCAACCAGAACACTGAAGATGCGTCGTGGATGGGTGTTCCAGCATGACAATGACCAAAAAACATACCACCAAGGCAACAAAGGAGTGGCTCAAGAAGAAGCACAATAAGGTCATGGAGTGGCCTAGCCAGTCTCCTGACCTTAATCCTAGCAATAATGTATGGAGGGAGCTGAAACTTCGAGTTGCCAAGCGACGGGCTAAGAAACCTTTGGGGTTTAGAGAAGATTTGT